TTCTTTTTGCTATCATATATTAGATTGAACCATATGAAAATGCTGATATATTTTATCCGAAAACTTAAAGATATTGCATGGTTAGTAATCATGACTTTTAAAAAGAACCTTATACTAACAAAAACCCTACTTACCATCTCTGTCTTCTTGAAGATGAACTGCTCTGACTGTTGAAAGAGAGCAGTGTGGTACCTACCAAGGTGGGCAGATGTGGAAGAGTAAAATAAAAATAAAGAAAAAAATTATTTCTCTTATATTTTTAGGGATGCTACAACAAAGCTTCTGAATACTTTCAGCAAGCTTTTGACACGACAGCAGAGCTAACAAACATTCCTCTGATGGATGAAACAAAAGTTCATTATGGAATAGCAAAAGCTCATCAGATGATGCGGACGGTTAGCAATTATGTAGAATCTGCAGATCTCGCCAGCCTTGACTACCTTCTGTCATGGAAGGAGAGCAGAAGTGACATTGCACTTGATCCAGTTGTTGGTAAGGCATTTAAAAAAAAAAAAAAACACTTTACTTTTTATATCATTCTTAATGGCTAAGTCATTTCATTGTAAAGGTTTATTCAATCATTAGTGATATTAATTTTATTAGTAATTTTTATTTGTTTACTACTATGCGAATATTGGATGTATTTTCATGCTATATTGTGCCTTCGATATTTAAAGCAAGCATAAAATAGTGCTAAGGATTTCTTTAACTTAATAAATCATTACTTTCATGCTGTTTTCTTTCAGTTATCTTAAATATTCAGCAGTAAGTACTGATCAGTTGTAAGGATGTGAAATAAGTTTGTTTTAAATGTTCAGTGTTTTACCTTATTGAGAAGAGCAAGTGTTCATAGGTGCTAATTACTATTATACTCTTACTTTTCTGATGGTAGTAAATTTTCCTATTTTTTTATCAATTCGAATTTGAATATTAAGTTAGAAAGTATTTCATAGTAATTTTGCTTAATGCCACTTTTTTCCTATATGCTTTTTCTTGTGATAATTAGTCAAAATAGTCAATTAAAAACAAATAACTGGAGGAAATGTGAGGGTCAGTTTTGTGTGTCAACTTGACTAGGCTCTAGTCTTTAGTTAAGAATTTTAGAATAGGACATTTAAAAAGAAATATTTAAGTAGTACTGCCTGTGACAGACCTTGGGTTACATAATTGTTTGCAAACCAAACTTTTTAAAGCAAAATACTTTAAATGTTTGGGGATAACTCAAATGGAATTATTAGGCAAAATTTTTGTAACATGAAGAAGCATCTCCTACTTGGAAGTTTTTTCCTCAGGTCGTTTAGATAAAATAATCATCTCTTTTGGTATTTATTTCCTCCATAGAATAAACAATAAATTGGGCACAAAGGAACTTTATTGACTCTTTTACCTTAGCAGAATACCATGTACCACTGTCTATCCTGGAGTTATAAAATAAGGTGTCATTCTGAATATACGCACAGTTAGAGGAAACAAGATGAAGTCTTCAAAAACAGAGCATTTGTTGAATTTCAGTGTGCTCAAGTGCCCCAAAAACATTTATGGCTACTATTAACTAATCACTTTTAGATAATATTTTACGTACTTCAGGACGTTGTCTTGTCATATATTTGGGAGTTTGTTCTGTAGTTTTGAGTTATCTTCCCTTTACTTTCTCACTCTTTCTCTTCAGGAGGTAAAGTAGAGGAAATATAATCCATCCAGTAGATTACTCGCTCTGATAAAAGGTTTGCTAAAGAGTAAGTTGAGCTACTCAAGTTTTCAAATTTATCTTGAATAAACTCTGACCATCACAATGATAATCATGAAAAAAATAGCCCTCAGAGTTTCTGATCAGAGCCAAGTGTCTATTTGTTGAAATCTGGGGCTTTTTAAAAATTTCTTTTGCTTTTCTGTACTCTATAAAGCTATTTATTTTTCTATTCTTTTTACATTTTATAAAAAATTTTTACAAATTTTTATAAGGGTGTGTTGTGTTCTATAGGACTTAGGAGCCGAACAAAAAATGCATTTAAAAATATGATTTAGACAGTAAATACTCACATTCATATGGTAGAGAAGATTAAATTCTCCAGAATGCTATGAAATTACACCATTTGACAGAGATTAGAAATCTATGTATAAATGAGCTATGGTATTATAAAAGTCAGAAAAAATAACCTTTCAGATTTACATATAAATGAGAAATTAATTCTCATAGTACTGGTATATTTAACATTTTTAGTGGTAGGTAGTTTTATTTTCTATTTGGAAATAAAATCTATAGGACATTATCAAACACACTTGCTTCTTTACATAGACATGTCTAAAGCTCAAAATACACTAAACTCTACTTTTAAAAGCTTCAAAAATATTTCTAAAATCACAACTCTTATTATTCTATCTTCGCTCTGCTTAAAAACCTTCATTGACTCCCTGCTGCTTACAAGTTAAATACAAGTTTCCCAACCTTTTTTGAACACCTCCCTAGCTACCCACTTTTCCCTGTCCCCATCC